GGGTGTGTTTGGAGCAGATGGGTAGTGGACATGTAGCAGCAGCAGGAGAGAGTGAGGACCGGTCTACCATCACTCAGACGCGGTGAAGACCCCTAGTGACCATGCCAGGGCTGGGCAGGCACTGACTGCCCAGCAGCGGCGTGACCGAAGGTCTCCGTAAGCCTTCGTGGAGCGTAGCACAGGAGATGTATGCCTTGGCTTTAAATCCCAGGTTCAGGAGAGTCATTTTGGTTGCTTTTGTGCCCTGCACAGGTAGTGAACACGTACACGCCGGGGAAAAAGATCTGGCTGGAAGGTGTTGGCACGACCTCGGCTGGAGGCATGAACAACCTCTCCGATTCCTATGCGGCCGGGTTCCTGTGAGTTACGCCGGCTCGCCAGCGCCAGGGCACTGCCACCCCCACGGGCTCTGCGGGCTCAGGTGCTGCAAAGCTGCTGCAGCCCAGAGAGGGCCATCTCTGTGCCCAGAGACTCCACCTCTGCTCCCCCAGCAGCCTGGGCGCCGCTATTTTCTCCGTAACATCCCTATTACCCCTCCCCAGCTCTGCTTTCCTGGAGGGGACCCAGTCTCTGGCGTACCCAGGGAAGCAGAGCAAGGAGGGGACCCCTCAGGATCTCACAGGGGTACCCATGCTGTGCCTGCAGGACATGGGTGTGGAAGGGGAGGCGAGATCCCAGCATGCCAGCTCCAGGACCCAGGGCCAGCATCCCGACAGGCTTGCCTCCCTTGGCAGCTCGGGATCGCCCAGGCCTCCTCCCGCTCTGCGTTTTTGGTTCAGGCTGCAGCCATGTGCCCTAGCATACGTTCAGTCCCAGGGAAGCGCTCAGCAGGACTCTGCTCTGGAAACCATTTTCTCCCCTTCTTTGAAGCCACAACCTTTCCTGGCTCCTGGGGCTTGTCTACCAGCACAGCCCCATGGCATGGGCACCCTGCTGCAAAGCCCCCGTTCAGATCTTCAGAGCTGGCTGTGGTCACGAAAGATGGAAGAAGATTATCCAGGCTCTGGGGGGAGGCGTGGGGATGTGCCCGGGATGTCAGGGCTGTGGCAGGCGGGGGGGGGGGGGGGGGGGGGGGTCAATGGTCTGGTCCCCTTGGCTGAGACGATGGGTGCAGGGTGCTGGCAGGCGGGGGGAAACCCCAGGTTTTGGGTGCAGGGCTGCGACACTGGGGTGCATACAGGGGCTCAGGTGGGGTGTCAGGACATGCAAGCCGAGCACAGCTGGGGCAGAGGTGGCTGGGGTGGGGGGGAGAGGCGTGCATGCTTGCCAGGGCAGGGGTGGTGGCAGACAGTTAATACCCAGCTTGCAAAACCACACGAAGGCTTTGGCTCGGGCACTGGGAGCAGGCGCCAGGTCGGGCGCACGAGAGCAACGCCGTGTGCTGGGGCATGGCTGTGCCGCGGGGGCTGAGGGCTCCCCCCGCAGCGGCCTGACTGCTCCCTCCGTCCCCAGGTGGCTGAACACACTGGGCTTGCTGGCCAGCCAGGGCATCGACGTGGTGGTGCGGCACTCCTTCCTCGACCATGGCCACAACCACCTGGTGGACCAGAACTTCAACCCCTTGCCGGTAGGTCTGCCCGGGGGGCATCACACCGGCGCTGGCTTCTCCCCGCTCATTTGCAGGGAGGTTTCTCTCCTTGTGGCCTGTCCAAACTCTGCTGGAAAATGAATTTGTCCAGGTCTGTTTCTTGCAGTATTAATGGGAGACGTTAGTTCATCTCGGAGGCAGATGGGAGAGCATTGCCTCTCTAGCTGAAGCTTCACCTGGAGCCTGGGGTAGGTAGCACGGGAGGCAGGCTCGTGCCACCACCACGGGGTGGGTAGCACGGGAGGCGGGCTGGTGCCACCGCTGCGAGGTGGGTAGCACAGGAG